CCCCCCCCCTCTGTAATAACCTGTTTAATAAAAAAATGAGCCAATAACAGAGACATCTAAAGAGAATATATATTTTTTTTATCTATCAGAAGATCTTTTAAAACTTTAGGTACAATTTTGACTGTGAGGTGATTCCTATTAAAAATCCCTATAAAAAACATTTTCTATGCAGATTCAGAGTTGGCAAAGAGTACAGCTTTCTCATTGCACACAATAAAGACACACAGAAACCTCTGCAAGCTCTATCACATGGTCACAAGCCCACTTCTGACCCCGATTTAACCCCCGTGTGTCCTCACAGCAGCTGGCTGGTGGAAGAATTGTGAGAACAGACCGAACCTGAAACTGTACGCCAACATAATCCTCACTGAGAGGGAGACATAAAGGGGGGCTGAGAGGAAATGGGAGCAAACGAGGGGCAGTGGAACAAAAAGAACAAAAAAAACAAAACAAAACAGTAGAGATGAGAAATGAAGGATGGAAAATCCCAAATCCTGCAGAAAAAAAAAATCCCTGAAAAATAGGATGCAACCTGTTGGTAAATTTAAAAGAAGCCTCTGTCACACTTTATTGAAAAATACCATCTGACACCAACATATATCTGTAACACAGATTCCTTTGCAGACTTTGAATGAATATAGAGCTAACTCCAATTAGCCTAATGCATTTCATGTTTACCTTCTCCACATTCAAGCATGTGAATGACAGCTGTTCCTATATGCAAAGTAATCCTCTGTAATCTGTGTGGCTCCCTGGGTCTTTCCTGAAAGATCTCCCACTTTGCCATGAGCTTCTCCAGACTCCATCCAACGACCTGTCCAGAAACCTGTAGTGTTGTAGCTAAGCTAATGCTAAACAGTCAGTTTTTGTTATACTTTATCCATTTGTCCCCTGTATTGTTCACTGAAATGAAGCTTCATTCACCACTTTGGTAAAGAGTTATGGGCTTTAAATATTATGTGATAAGCTGTAACTTATTTCAAAAGGCTCATCTTGCACAAATCAATCAGCTGCCAATTTACTCCAAATTGACATTTTTTTCTTTCTTCTGCTAATCTGAAACTCTGTATCTTTTCAGTCTGTAAATACATCACATAACAGCATGTTATTTCATGCACTTCTAGTAAATGATAGATAAAGGACATTTGTTACTAAGTGCACATAGGGACCAATCGTGGTGATTCCCTTAATTTATAAAAATCAGCAGGTTGGAACACAAAGAAGACCAGAAATCCATCTGGACCAGTTAAAATGTGATCGGTGCATCTCTATTTAAGATTATTTTGTACTGCATTTAGACTTTACATCTGAGATAGATGCTAGAAAACATGAATTGATGAACCTCTAAGTATGTTAATCTTTTATTGCAGTAGAAACAATTAAAAAAATCACTGAAATATTTAGAAAAATCAAATATCATTTGTAGGCCCCTAGTGGTAAACTTGTTACAGCCCATATTGTTATTGCCATTTTGCAATCTGGACACCACCAAGGGGTATTCTGCTTTATGGAGCAGGAAACTACATTGGATGGGGGATTTCTAACCATTCATCATCTAAAATATCCAGAACCTCCAGAGTTCTGTGGAGTTTCTGACATCTCTTCTCCTCCCTGAACAAAGAACAGTTTCTGTAATGGTCATTTCAGCAAATGCCAACTGTTTACCTCTTAAATAGGATTTTTACCGGCATCCTAAATCGCCTTTTCATAGTGGTCATCGTGGATAAAAGGTGACCTCAAAGATCTTTCCTGCTTTCTCAAACACTAAAGTAAAGATATATTTTTTTATTTTTTTCTGCGTAGAAATGAACCTCTTTGATGTGAAATATTGATTAATAGAAAATAAATTATTCTACATTAAAATTCATAGATCTTCTCAACTTTTCTTTGATAAAGCAATAAATGATGAATTTATTCTGAGGTTTTTCACACAATTTGAGACATTCAGATGGATTGCAGGTAAGTACTAATGAAGGAATCGGTGCAGCCATCACATCATATCAGCTTCACAAACCTAATATAAAAGAAAAAAGTAATAATTAATACTGAAATATTTGCAGAGTGCTACTTGGCTTGCAATTAATTGTTGCTTCTACAAGTTCTTACAAAAACCTTTGAGTCCAACTTTTTCTCTAAAATGTTATAAATGGATCAACATCCAGATAGGATATGGTTATTTTATTAGCTTCAAAAAGGCCTCTGGATTAGTGCTGTAAACATCAAGCATTAAATCACATCCGGTCAATAAACAGAGTCACAATGTTTGCTTCTGAAATGTAAAAGCTAGTGGTCACTCCCTTTATCGTATTCATGTCCTCAAGCTCTTCTGATAAGGAGTTGTTGGTGATAGGTGAATAAATGAGGTCTTTGAAGTGTTAGATGTTCTGCTATCTGCTGTACATTAATGATGATGATGATGATTAATGATGATATATTGATGTAAAAATACAAACATCATCTGCATGGGATGAAGGAGCAGAGTTTTTCACAGTGATTTTTCTGCCTGCTTCAGGCTTCCTCGGACTGATCTAAAAAATAAAAACTCCCACAAAAGCCACCGTCCTTCATGTCAGTGTCCATTCATGTCTTTGGTGGGATTTATACCATGGAATGCTGCCTATTTATCCTTGTTCATGGTTTTTTAAAATATATATATAAAAGAAAATAGCTGCTTTTTCAGTCGCTCAGAGGAGGAGAGTTAATCAAATAGTTGATATAGTAAAAAACTGATTGAAAGGGAAGGAATGTCTCCTCATATGTTGGGATTATTGTCATCTGAGTTTGTAACTGTTTCTTGTTAAGAGAACTGTGATTTTTAACAACTTTAAAAGTCATTAAAATCCAAGAACTTTGTTTGGGCAAATCATGAAAGGTCGTAGGGAGGGCTATCCTCTGGTTTCTCAAGTCTCTGAAGCCAAAAAAAATAGTCTTAGAAATTACTGAAAAGCTCATATTTCTTCATCCAGTCCATTTGTGGTGCTTTTTTCTTCTCCTTCGCATGGATCTTCATCTTTTCCTCCGCTGCTGTGGCACTGAGTCTCAGGCCGATCTCAGCGAAAGGGTCCATAAGCTGGCTACCGTCATCGTCGGCCAGCTAAATGTCGGCCAGGAAATGGAAAAACAGGCAGCTAAGCGTTAAGAGTTGAGATTTTTAGCCGGAACAACATTAATGTGCGACCACACTGACCTGCGTACTGTTGCCCTGGCTGCTGAGGTCCGAGCGCGTTGACCTGATGGACTGTGTGGTGGAGCTTCCGTTGATATGGGGGCTGGGGGAGCCGTTTGATATGGAGGGACCATCATAATCTGGGAAATAAAAATATAAATCGGAAGGTATTTCAATAGTATTTGCAGATTTGAGGAAAATATCTTAATCATTTCAGAACAGTGCCCCTTATCAATTCTAATGCTTCAGAGAATACTTAGATAATCTGCCACTGATTTCAATACCAAAAAAGTTGCAAATGTTAAGTTTTCAAATACGTTTGACCTTCCTCACCTTTGACGTGGTTGATTGTAGGGACCACTGATCTTCTTTTGAAATGTTCGTCTGTTTCTGGATCCACCACCAGCAGCCAGGTCTCGTCTCCCCCTTTCTTTATGAACGCCACCACCTCTGTGTGCCTCATGCCCTCGATGTTCACACCATTCACCTGATCAGGAAGAGGAGAAGGAGAGATTTTCCCTGTGTGACTATCCAGCAGATTTTTAAACACAGCTTTTTGGTTGATTCTGAGGTTTTAAAAAAATAAAGGTTTTGCAAAAATATTCATTCCCCACTATTTTTTTTACCAAGCTGTACTTCATTACAAACCCTTAATTGCTTTGTTTTTTTGTGCAAAATCTACACACCCAAAACAACATAGAAGTGCAAAAATGCCAACAGATAGTGTCCATGAAGAATGATGGTGCATCGCATTGAGTCTGCAATTCTGCACCTCTCATTACACCAATACATCTAAACAAGCCTCACCTATATAGATTTTTTAAATCATATATCTCGCTGTCCTGTGAAGCCCTTAGATGTTTGTTGGTAAACAACAGTTTAGGAAGAAAGTTGTTGGTATTTTTGAGTCAGTATTAGTTGGTTAAAAGATATTTCAAATTTTGAACATCTCGTGGAGGACTGTTCATGGATCAGCTAAAGTAGTATGGCACAAACTGTAAACCGACCAAAACTTTGCCGTCCACCGAATCTGAGATGCAGGGCAAATAGACAATTTCCCTACAAAATAGCTGCTGTTTTAACGTGGGAGGACTCAGAGTTAAGAAAACAAAGTCAGTATTGAAAAAAGCACAAAAAAAAAAAAAAGCATTTTCACTTCAATATGAGAAAATCAGGAGATGCAGCAAATATAGGGGCAAATGTCATTAGTTCAGAGGCCAAAACTGCCTGCATTAACCCAACACATCATTTTAAACACACAACCCCATTATCATCAAGAACAGAGTGGCTTTCAGAAGATAGCAGAAATAAGACTAGAGCTAAAAAGGAGCTAAAGTATATTCAGTCAATGGCCACACTTCAGACCTAAGGCAAGACCTATAAACCTCCTCCATATAGTGGAGTTTAAACCGTTTTCCAATAAAAGAAATTGGTAAAATTCCCAGTATGCAACTGTGCTAAGGGGATGGAAAAAATAATAATGAAAGACTTTAATTAAAGCTTAACCAAGTAATAAAACAGAGAAGGTGAATACTTACACACAAGAATCTGCAATAAAAATAGTGTATGTGCTTCCAAGCTGATCCACAAGGGGGAGCCAGGTAACCACCCTGCCATGTTAAGAGAACCATGTTGTTTTTCTAGGGGTAAAGTTTTGCTTTAAGTTTTTATTTAATGACAACCAACTTTCAGCGCTCTTACAGGAGTGTGGATCTGGATGCTGCCTAAACAACAGGAATGTAATATCTTCCTCACCTCTGCACCTAACCTGTGAGGTACACCAGGTTTGTTTTTACCTGCTTTTATCTGGATGCTGGGTTTCAGCTGCTCTGTCTAGACCATTCTTGGTGTTCAGCAGGCTGTGTCGCAACACACCGAGTTTGTGTTGTTGGTACACTTTCAATTATTGATGGCTCTCCTGAGCTCTGGCTGGGGCTTAGGTGTCAGGTGTCTCTTTGCTGATGGGGAATTTGTTTAAAATTAACGGCTTATGATTGGCTGGGGGGTGTAAGAAGAGAAATCGCTGCATTTTCTCTCACTTTAAAAAGGAAAATTAAAGACATTAAATCAATTTAATGAGAGAATACTTGGGTCATCAACAGACACAAAAAGCCAAAATAAAGAGAAACGAGAAAGAGGTAAAACGCTGCACAATAAATGACATAGAAGAATGCCACAGATGGAAAATGTGAACCAATTCTCTTCTTATCCATGTATCTGTTTTATAAGGACTTTGAGTCCTTAAAGACAGGATCTCAGTGACAGAGTGAGACAAACAGGTAAGAACAGGTATCAAACAAACCCCTCTGTCTTCGGACGACAACAGGTGTTGCATTGTCTATAACAGACATCAATAACAGTCCAGGCCTGAATGGACAATGCACTGTTCTCTTCCCGCTAGATTAATTAATACATAGAGCTCTCGAAAATGTGTACAAGCCTATTTCCCATGGGACAACTCTTCAGGAAACATCTTAATACTTAATGTGTGTGTGTGTGTTGGACTTCATGGAGCTTCAAAATAGAGGTACTTTTTCACTTTTGAAGTGGAGATCAAAACCACAAATTTCCAACCGATCTGCACATCTGTAGACATGACACAAGAGATGAGACAGGCTTTTTACTATTGAGTCTGTGTTTTAGCTTCACAAAGGAACAAAGAGCACAGCAAACAAGCTAGAGAGAGGACAGTTCTGTCATATGCAGGTTATCTACCTGCCATGGACACTCTATCTTTGGAGCCCAAAAGGACTTCAGTCACGTATACTTCCTCCACTGCCCATTTCCTGTTTGACAACTAGGACGAAAGGCTTCTAGTGTCAGGAAATTTAAAATAACAGGACAATATCTAGATTTTGTTAAGAAAATATGTACAGTGACTTTATCTGTACCTGACTGGTAATTGATTGATATGAAGCTCGAAAGTCATATCTTTTTCTGGTCAGTGAATGCCACTAATCTGAGTGCTTCAAACTTCAAAACGCTCTTCGATGTGGATTCTGTTACTGAAAAAAGATCATTTTTTTTCATTGTTAATGAATAAAGTTGAAAATGAAGGAAACCATGAGATAAAAGGAAAATGTCATTGTTCCTTAAAAAGAAACATTGAGATGTTGAGACCTGTCTTTAGTTAGTTTAGGCTGTAACAGAACTTAACTTTAAGCACAATACATAAGGGCTTAAAATAACTAAGCAGCCATTACAGCTATGAAACCCAGTAATTCTCCATCATGACCCAACAACAAAAGCAGTTGCAGACTGATATGATGCTACCAAGCTTGAACTTCACGGATGATCAGAACACGCTGTGATCGACGCAGCTACAGCTGAAAGTGATGAGGCATTAACTGCCGTCAGAGGTTCTGCCAAACGGCAGCAGAAAGCTGAGCTGTCACAGCAGCCTTTACAACATTTGTTGCTGATACAACTCCAGTGTAATGGGCCGTGGGCAAAGAAAGACGGCGAGCGTCGGACAGGGAGAGCTCTTCATGGTCACTCAGCTCTCTAACAACCTGCTGACAGGTAAACATCACAGGTGATTTGGTAGGTGCACGGTCAGAGAAAACTCCAATTACCACAGCAACATAAAAAAAAAACAAAGAAACATCCGATCCACCAGTAGAAGGGAGGCTGAAACTATCAAAATAGTCAAAACTCATTAACAGATATTTATTTGCTCTAAAAGAAAGCTATCACACATTGACCGATGTACATTGCACCGTGAAGCATCTTTGTTGTCCTAAAAAAAACAAAAAATATGTGTGCAGCTCAGGCTGCAGAAAGACATTTTAATAGAAGATGCTACAAACCTAAACATTGATGCTTCATGGAAATTGTCTTTCGCAACAGGTCTATATCCAGTTTTTCTAAAAGGCTACAAAGTTAACAAACAGCGTGCCACTAGTCTAAAAGCTGTAGATGATCTGTGAGATCTACTCTTTATAAGGTGGGTTAATTAATGTTTTATTTTGCATCTTCCCATGCTGTATTATAACTGAAAACATGCCATAGATGTGGCGTTTGTTGCCATTGATGACTTGCTGCTGGATATTCGGTCAGATTTTTTTCATGCTGACTTATGTAGTGTGAAGCCACAAAGCACAATCTTTGTTTGGTTCCTTGTATTTTAATGTGATTGATGGTTTATCTCCAAGACTTTAACACAATTTTGCTGGACAGCTTTTTTTCTTTCAACATTGTTAAGCATCTTTTGTGCATTCATTTTGGGTAATGTTCGCCAGAATGGACAAAACTCTGCCTTTACGGAAGAAAAACAGTCAGAAATAAACAATAAAATAAGCAAAGCGGTCTTATTTTTTTTTACATGGGCTAAGAATATAAATGATTTTTAATTACATTATACTTTAAGGACATTTCTGTTTCCTGTGTGTGGTGATCTGTGACCTGTCCTGGACTCAAGTGCACTTCCAGGGAGGCCAAAGGCCGTGGGAATGAAGGCTGTGTTTACTCCAATATGTGTTTACATTTATGCAACACTGATCAAGTTTCTTTTGAGTAGGTTTTTGTAATTATATTTTTGATTCTTTTGCAGATTTGAACATTTCGTTACCTTATGGCTGGCCGTGTGACAGTAGTTACCCTACAGTGCATATCCCATCATGATCATTGTTTAATTTAGAAACAGTCATGCAAATACTTGATAAAAAAATATTTCATAAAAAAAAATAAGTCTTATATTGAGATAGAACATAACTTATGTTTCTTTTTCCTGTAAAAAAGGTTTTTTACCGGAGATATAGGAGAAAACCAAGAGTGCCAGCACCAAAGAAGAACCTCTCAAGTTATGAAAGAGCAGTTGGATTTTCTCACAGTCTATCAATCCTGTTTTCCAACACAAACCAGCTAAATGCAGTATAATTAACAAGCAATTATCTTATTGTCATTCCTCTCTATGGTTTCCTGTCAGTCAAATGCATGTGTTCACAATTCTCACAGAGTGCTTTGTGTTTGACATCCTTCTCTCAGCTAATTGTCTCTGTTATGTTGGATCTTTTTTCCATGTTTCAGTAAAGACACGTCTCAGCACAAACAGACCCTCTCTCACAGAGCTTAAATTGATAAACCAAAACTAAATCATTCCTTTAATTTGAAGGTTGAGCACAAAAGGAGTTTATAAGCTGCTTTGCAGAAGGGTTCACAAGCAATGGCGTTCAGTGCTAATACTATTTAGAGTTGTCAAAGAGGAAAGTTGACATGTTAAAGAAATAAAGAAGACAGATGAGGACAGTGTGTGCCAACTTAAACCGTGCCATCAGATCAGCGAAGCAGAACAACAGCCAGAAGATTCAGGATCTTTTCCACGATGCCAGCAACACTAGGAGGATGTGGAAAGGCATTTGGATGATCACAGACTACACATCGTCTCTAGTCTGCTGCCGACATTCGACCCGTTCCAGCACATATATTGACGGAACCGCCACATGCGGATGCTGTTCCTGGACTTCAGTTCAGTTTTCAACACCATCATCCCACAGCTTCTGATAGGAAAACTGGAACAGCTGGGCTTCAATACACCCCTCTGCAATTGGCTGCTAGACTTCCTCACAGACAGACCTCAGTCAGTCAGAGTTGGACAGAACACCTCTGGTGTCATCACCCTAAGCACAGGCTCCCTCAGGGCTGAGTCCCCTGCTGTTCACCCTGATGACACATGACTGTGTCCCCAGGTTCACCACCAATCACATCGTGAAGTTTGCTGACGACACCATGGTGGTGGGCCTCATCAGAGACGATAACGACCAGGACTACAGAGAGGAGGTGGAGCAGCTGGTGGGCTGGTGCAGAGAGAACAGCCTGGTGCAGAGAGAACAGCCTGATCCTGAATGTGGAGAAGACGAAGCGGATCATTGTTGACTTCAGGAAGAACCGTCCAAACCACGCTCCACTGCTTAACAGCTCAGCTGTAGAGGTGGTCAACAGCACCAAATTCCTGGGGACTATCACAGACACCCTCAAATGGAATGTTAACACCACCTCACTAATCAATAGGGTACAAAAGCGCATGTACTTCTTGCAAAGGATAAGGAGAGCCCACCTGGCCCCACCCATCCTCACCACCTTCTACAGAAGCACCATAGAGAGCGTTCTGACCAGCTGTCTCATTGTGTGTTGTGGAAGCTGCAGCTTCTCAGACTAAGGGAGACATAGAGGATCATTGGAGCTCCTCTTCCTTCCATTAAATACATTTCATCCCAGTGCTGCATGTGTTTTTTTTTTGTCTCTTTGTGTCATCTGAGTGACGACATATCATGAACTTGGCATGATTACTGACTTAATTACTAACTCCCTTCACCATTGTAGTTCTGCCCGGTTTCTCATCACTGCTCATCTTATCCACCTGGTCCTGCCACTATTTAGGGTGCTTGCATCCAGTCATCAGGGCAAGATTATTCTTGTTCTCTGTAGCAAGGGGTGAGAGTGCTTTTAGAGCTCCTTGGTGTTTCTGATTACCTGATCCTGACCCGGTCTGCCTCTCAACCACTGACCTGCCTGTTCCCATGTCAAAAGTTTGCCTGAACTGCCTTTGGACTCCTGGACCTCTAAATTTGACTGTTCCTGTTCTGATCTGTTTGCCTGACCTGCCTTGGGATTCCTGCATGTTACTCCAGGGCTGCAGCATCTGGCACACTCTGAGCGGCACCCGCCGCAACTTGGTAGCAGCCTACCGGCTGGATTCTACCTCGCTCGCTGGGCAGGGACTGAACCAGAGTTTCCTCCCTCACACACCCTAGCTGCTGCTACTGCAACCCAGCAGCCCGACATTTCTTAATAAACACTTTTTGAGTAATCCCACTATCTGTCCTGCCTGAATACTGGGCCCTCTGTTCTGAGTTCTGACACAATGATTTTTACCAAAGGCTTTTTCGCAATTTATTGATTGGACATTTACAGTTTTAACCAAATTATATCTGTAGATGTTTATACACAGCTGACTGTACATATTGCAGTATTTAGCTTCTAACAAGCTGTCAGGATGCTCAAGAAGACTTCAATAAAAAGCCCTTTTCCTGAGACTCCACTATAAGGGTGTGGGCTCAGCCCCCAATATTCCCAGGTCCAGGAAACACCTCTGTTCACAACCCTTGAACTTTTCTACTTTGTGGCACATTACGACCACAAACTTCATTGTAGTTTATTGGGATTTCATATGAGGGACCGAACAAAAGAGTGCATAATTGTCAAGTGGAAAGAAAGTTGGTTGCAAATACAAATCTGAAAATAAAAGCAGACATACATTTCAAGTCTCTTTTTCTCTCAAAAAAATCCAGTACAAACAACCATGTTCAGAGGTCAAGTTAAGTTAGTAAACTGAATCCATCTGTGAGTAATTTAATCTGTATGTAAATATGGCGGTATTCATAAACAAAGTTGGAGAGCAGTTTAAAGTAGGGTCAGGTAATAAAACATTTATCCAAAGTTTGGAATGTACTGTATAGCATAGTTTAATGTATTGTCTGAGAGGGGAACAAGTAAAGCACAGCAGAAATCCTGTCAAGAGATCATAACTCCAAAGTTTGGAAGAAGAGATCAATAAAATAAGCAGTAGGTCTATGGTGCCTGGTGGACCTATAAAGATCTGCAACTTGGGTGGGAGAATTTATCTTAAGAACATCTACTAGTGGTGCCCTCTGCAAAGCTGCGTCTAAAGGGAGGAACAGAAGAAGAAAGCCACTGCAGGTAGAAAGCCTCAATAAGTCCTGTTTGCAGATTGCTCTAACTCATTTTTGAGTACAGGGCAAATATGTGAAACTCTATTGTGTACATGTATAATGTAAAAGGTAATTTATGATGATAACATTATCATGCTGCAATGACTTTTCTCTTCACCAAGGATAGAAGAGCATATCAGAGTGAAAAAACAATAATTTATTGAAAGATGCAAAAGACTTGAGAGCATATATTCACTATCAGCAACCCTAAAGATACAACTTAAGGTGAAAAAAAAAAACATGTTCAGCCCCAAACCCATTGAATAATATCCATCAAGACTTTAAAATCCATGTTCACTGATCGTATCCATCTAACCTAACTGACTTGCATAAAAGATAAGGCAACATTTTCCAACTTTAGATGTGCAAAGCTGGTTGAGACTATCCATAGAGGACTTAAGCTGGCTACTGCATATAAATTGTGTTTTTTTTTTGCTTCTAAATATTCATACTATAGTAGTAATTCAGCTGGTGAACTCAAAGAAAGTCCAGTCCACTGAAGTTTATCTCATACCTGCAAAAGAAAACACAATGGCGGCACAAAGGCAGAGGGGGCATTTTTCTAATTGATGTGGAAGAATAGGAGAGCAAAATGTTTTTCTATTACTTGGAAGGTGAATCATATAAATCGTATTTTGTTCGTATATGATTTCTCACCACCTCTGCCTATTGATTAAACTATACATTACATACAAATCATTGTACAGATTTCTGCCCCTGAAAAAAGAAAACAAATCTCCACTTTCCCTACCTACCAAAGCCCGTCCAAAGCCTTACCAATCTCACAGGTAAAAAGTTTATCAGTACCTATGCAAGCCACTGTAATTCGTCTCATAGGTATTTTAAGTCACATTTTTTCTTTCATGTATTAATAAAAGTTATCAAGTATAGACTGGAATGCCCTTTATATAATTCATATTATTTTGAACTGTAGTTAATGGATCTAATTGACTCAGCAGTTCTGTTCAAACGTCTCCCTCCTACCTCGACTAGCCTGTCTTGTGGTCTCAGTCCAGCACGTTCGGCAGGTGACCCCGGGTCCAGGGAGCGGATGTACTGACCAGGCCGTGACCGATCACTGTGAAGGTTGAAGCCATAGCCCCCTGGCGACCGAGTCAGGTGGCAGAGACGTGGGGCAAGTTCAGATGGGTCGACCTGGGGAGGGGACTGATCCTGATCCTGAGGCTGAGATTCCACCTCCGACGACAGCTCCTGGAAAGACATGTTTGGCATTTAATCAGCTTCTAATTTCAATCAATTTATTTTAAAATATTTTATTTGAAATTTTGTTAAAATAAAATATTTACTGTTTGCTCATTGCGCATAATGAGCATACATTTAGCACATCATCACTTCAAAACATTTAAACACCTCCCGCGTCTGTGAAACCTGCTTTAATAGCTATACTAATAATTTAACACCTATTTAAAGCAAAACTCAATTAGTATAACCACATTGGATCGCAGTGAAAAGCAACTTGGAGCCCAAAAACTGCTGTTTTATGATGATTCTATCCTGTATTTGTTCAATTGCACAAACATTTCTATTAAAAAAAAAATATATATATATATTTTTATTTTAGAATCCACAATTTGCTTAGTCTAATTATATAGACTGCTTAGTGTTAGATGTACATTTTTTCCACTTTTTGTTTGCTTGAGATTACTCAGATTTTCCTAAAACATTGAGTTTCTTTTTTTGTTGGTTATTTTACTTGCGTGGAACATTTTCAGCATATTGCCAACAGTTTTGCCAGCTTGGGTGATGACATTTATAGAGCAGGATTAATTGAGCCTCCAGCTCTTCGGCATGGTCATGCTGATTTACCACCTACACATCCAGGGATAAAATGTGCTATGAGGGGGACGACGGAGACTCGTATTAACACTGGGGTGTAACTCACTCAGCTACCTGCAATAGTTCACATGAATAGGACAGCACAGCTGATGTTGGCCGGCCTTATATATTTCTTACGTTTTTTTAGAGCATATGGGAACCTTCTACAGGAGAACAGCTTGAACGGCTAAAAATACATATGTAGGCAGGCTTAGAGAGAATATACAAAGAGATGACGGTACAGTAGCAATTTGAACATAGATAGCAGCTGAAGATAATGTTCAGTCAATCATTTCTGACATTTCTTTACTTCTGCTGTGCAGTCCAAAAAAGATGCAATATATAAATGGGCACCACAACTGCAATTCTGTATGCCAGAAAAGACATTTAGAAACATATAATTTAGTTTCAGAATCAAATACTTTTGGGTTGTAGGGATCTGGGAAGATTGCCCTGAAATAAAGGAAGACAATAGAATAATTCAAATCAATTACTCTCCCATGAGCCCTACACCTCCTCTCTTTCCTGCCTACAGGAGCAATGCTAGGGTTGGGCTTTAAGGGTGAGTTTTGCAAGACAAAGAAAGAAAAAAAATGATTTCTTTTTTAATCAGTGTATTATTATTCTGGGATCTGGTTGATGGAGGAAAACAAAAAACAGTAGGAGTGAGAGGAGGCAAGGCAATAAGCAAGAAACGAGAGAGAGTTGAGTGTGTGGGAGGATTGGAAAATTAGATGCAGCAAGAGGGTTGAGAATGAGAGTTGAAGCAATGCAAAGATCAAGCAGAGGCCAAAAAAAAAAAAAAAACAGCAGACAGATAAGCAGGGAGAAAGAGAGAGAAGAAGAGTTTACGAAGAGAAGTCAAGATGACAGAAGTTTCCAGTATGACACTTTAGTGAAGAAAAGTGGAGCTCTAATGTAAACTCTGAGAGCAACACAGCTGGGAGTCATTATGTGGGGAGCTGTGAGTGTCTGCCAGTTTAACCTCTGACTGCCTCTCAGGGCTGAGCTGAACCCAACTAATCACTTTTGTGGGCCCTGTGCCTCCTACAAACTCACCAAACTTGTCACAGAGTGAGGTTACACTTTTTTTCTGCTTCACTTCTACAGAATCAGCTCTGCTGGAGACCTGACTGTCTGTGACGTACAGAGCTGTGCTCAAGTATTTAACCCATTTCACATTATTTCTGGTTTTGCATTTGGATAGACCTTAATGGAGTAGATCACTGAAGTAACTTTTATGGGAGACAAAGTTAACCCTAGAAAACACACAAAGCATGTTTCAAAAAGTTGATCAGAAAAAGTTATCATTCATGCTAGTAAATTACATTTTAACCGTGATAGAATATATTGGTTCAGTTTCTCCAGCTACAGCCAGGCTACTTTTTAACCTGGAGACTCAAGCAATCAGTTAAACAGAACCAATCAGGCTACAAAAAGAATGCTCCAAAACAACATGGAGGTTACCTAAGAACCCAGAACACCTCTGAATCCCTCATGTGTTAAGGGAAGCATTCATTACTTAACAATAAGAAAGACAGTGGGTGAAACCTTCTAAAATGGAGAAGCAACAGATTTCTCCAACAAACTCATAGTTTATTAGTAAGTACACAAAGGCCAATCCAATATTTGCCAAAGAAAATGAATACTTGAATGGTCTCAAGAGTTCTGGGAAAATATAAGTCGGACTAATGACACACAAGTTGATCTTTCTCAAAGTTATATTACATTTTATGTAAACCTAATAAAAGCTCTGAGAACAAGATCACAGTGTCAGTCATGCATGTGGATGATAACATGATGGTCTAAAGCTACGTTCACACAGCAGCCTGAAGTGACCCAAATTCAATTTTTTTTTGCCCATTTGCGACACGGATCAGATTTTTTCATGGCAGTCTGAACAACACAGAACTGATTTTTTCCAATGCGACCCAGGCCACTTGGCTATGTGGTCCCGAATCCGATACGAATCTGATCTTTTCAAATGCAACCTATTTGTGAACGGCCAGGTCGCATTCATCCGACCTGAACGCCATCAATACCCGACAAAGGTCCCTATTCTGGGTCTTGATGATGAACACCGGCACTACCATCCATGTTTACATCCGTAAACACAGAGCAAGCTGGCATGTGACGTCACTGCGTCCTCTACTGCGTATTCGGGACACTTGCGTTATATGACTGCAGTTCACGCAGGAGATCACATACAAGTCCCATATATTTGGAAATAGGAACAACAATGCAAAAAAAAAAAATCGTATTTCACCAAAAAATGGGAATTGAGCATCAAGGCCTGCAGTGTGAATGTAGCCTATGTCTACTGTTCTGCTTTAGGACCTTGATGAATTATAATTAATAGAAAGAAAGGTTCTGCTCTATCACAGAAAATACTAGCCAGCAGTTTTTGACCTTAAAGTGAAACTCACCAGAGATGATTTTAAGACAAACAGCAGAACCAAACAAGCTAACAGCATAATGTATCACACAGTACAGTAAGGTTAAGGTAGAACCCCAAAGACCCATTTTATCTGCAATAAAAACATATTTTTTTTTTTAGCAAAGTGGATTTTGGTCACGCAGCAGAACATCAAAAAACACAATATTAATTCTACCTCTGATTGAGCAAATGATTATGGCCTAATAAATTTAGAAAACGTAATGCAATGAAGATGGTTGTGGAACGACCTGAAGGATTTGTCAAAGTTTTGCCCTCTGTTTAGGTTACTTTTTAAGTGTTTAGTTCACTGTAATCATGTGTCTTTGTAGTTGTTTTCTGGCATTGTTGAATTTTTGTGTTACTCTCTGAAGCCCCCCCCCCCTTCCCCTAGCTCCCTTCTATTTACCTCTATCCACACCTGCTCCATATCAGCTGATTAGCCCATTCTTTGTTCTGTTCCCTATATATCCACCTCCTCTACAGATCCTCATTACTGGTTTCTCGTTGTTGCTTTGCTCCACATGCATGTTTTCCCCTATGTCTCCTGGTTTTTGTTTTCCTATAATGTTCATTAGGGTTTTGCCTCTGTTGCCTTTTTCATTCATTAAATCTGCATCTCACTCATCTCAGCCCCATAATCTCTACATTTAGTTTCTTAATCAACTTCTACCCAACCTGACAGGATTTTCTGGCCTATTTGAAACTATACAGCTGATCATAAGCACTATAGCTTCAACAGTGGCCCTTTTACAAACTGTTTCCTATAAGTTGTGAATGAAAACCGTTTGTAAATAAATAACATTATTTTTGTTTGAAAAATATATATTAGTGCTAAGGTGAGACAATTCTGTAAGAACTTTTTTAAAAGGGCAAGGTTGTGGATAGGTTTTTTTCCCTTTCATTATGAAATAATTATTTTTAAATCAGTTTTTTCTTTAATGTTCTATGGTATGATAAATTAACTCCTAGCTCTGAAGCATCTAAAGTTGACAAAAAATGTAAAAAAACAACAAAAAAACATTCTATGTTTGTGTAGTAAAAATAGATGAATCAGAAGCAATGTGATGGACAATCATAATGACTTTGAAGATGAAGTATCAACCAAAAGGACTCAAGTTACCAAGAAAACAAAAAAACTATTCAAAACAAGAGGAAATCGAATAGAATGAGACCACTGTGTTTGTTTGAGTTGTGGGTGTTGAAAACTTGGTTGGAAAAAAACCTTTTGGAAGAAAAATATTTTTCTAACAAGAAGAAAAATAAAGCAGCAAACTCTCGTGTCATGGGGGGATAGATTTTTGATTATCAGCAACACACAGTCCCGCATGGGAGGGAAATACAGCAGGAGGGGCTGGAAATAAAACTATACCCTCACATGGAATCAGGCTGCTTTGCTACAACATATGGAATATTTCACGCCCATCAAAAAACTAATGTTTTATTACCAGCAATGCACACCTACATGTACTGACCCGGGTTTCCTGGCTGTGGCACAGTGAGAGGATGTGCGGTCAGTGGTAGAAGCGCTATTCTATGATGTCCTCTGTGCCCTGCAACAATCAGCTTTTGTTTCAGTAAATCTGAGGGGGATCATGCAAGGGAGAGACCACCACATCCACACAATACATGTGTTTCAATTCACTTGAATATCTCAAAATGCAGTTTTTTCCTTTCTGTTAATTTAACAATATACGTAAAAGCCAAAAATATAATGGTAACAATCGGTAAAGTGGGTTAATTATTTCATGTATTTACTCATAAAATTGGAAGGCTGTGAAGAAGGTGGATGGAAAAACATAGTCAAGATGTGGTGTTTAAAATGTTTTTTATGCATTCCATTAAATTTAATAACCTTGTATAATATTTGTGTATTTTTTTTGTTTTTTTTTAATAGAAAGTACTCCTGCCTCTGTGTTAATAGTTGATTAAATTAATTATA